TCAATTAGAATGGTAATCAAATGTATTATATTAAACCAGACAAAACAAGCAGAATAATAGTGTTGATTGTAGTGAATTTGTAGCTCGTTCCGAAGTTGATAATCTCCGTGTAAATCGTGTGTGATGGCTGGGCGGCTAAGCGAGACGTGTGGTGTTCTCGTCTCTGGATACATCTACTTTGGCTGTCTCGCTGTCCCCTATATATATGGTGGCGGCGTCCTTTGAAAGTGAGCGGCGCGTGTACAGTCGTCCTTGATATGGACCTCACGACTATGAAAGTGGTATTCGTAGTCGAAAACACTTTTGGGTGTGGTCGCATTCCTGGTTGTTATTATGAGCAAATATATGATATTGCGTAATCCCATTACAACATCGAATGTTGTAAAAATTTGAATTTCAAACGCTCATAAAAATTTAATTTGACTGTCCGGTAGAGATTTTTTTATTGATAAAGGTAGACAAACTTATGAATAATCTTGTATTACATTTTCAAATCTTAGATTTAAAAAGAAAAATTTTTACGAATTCTTAACTCAAAATAATTTGCTAATTTTCGTGATTTTTCCATATTTTGTCAATTTTTGAACTTTAAATGCTTATAAAAAAAAACTGTGACTAACGATTTTTAATATTTTTTATCTACCTTTGAAACAATATACCAGGAGCCTTCTATTAAATTTTCAAGGTTTTTTAACCAACAAATAAAATTTAATTGATATTTCTAGAAAAAAAACTAAAAAAAAAATGAAAAATGAAAATGTCCCCAAACGGTTCAAAATAAATCAAAAAATTTTGAAAATGTATCGTGTATAGAAAATACAAATATAAACAACCAGGGAAAATTTCATGTATCTACGGTCATTTGTTTTAAAGTTACACCAAAAACCAAATTCAATTTTCTGAAAAATCGATTTTGCGTAAAAATTCCCGTTTTTCCTTAATTTTTCTTTTGTTTTTCTTGGCGCTTTTGAAAAGCACTGGGAATTTTAAATTTTGACCTCCCCAATGCACCAACGATATTCATTTTCCAATCGAAAAAAATACTGAAGTCGAAAATCGAAGCATTATTTTGACTACTTATTGTGTACACAGACACAAAAGCAAAAAAAAAAACACACATCATTGTAAAATCAATTAATACATTCATCGTTCCACTCAGAATGTAAAATGCATTGCTGTTCGTTAGTCTAGCTAAAACTCGAGAACGGCCTGACCGATTGGGCTCAATTTTTTTTAAGATGTTCGTAAAGATTGGTACGAAAGAAAATTTTAGGAAAATCCACAGAAAAATTGGAAATTTGGATGTAAAAAAACCGTGTATTATATTATATTGGTTGTTATTGGTTAATCGGGCCTGTTAATCGGGTTAAACATGGCCCCTTGCCCCCCCCCCCCCTTGGATCCGCGCCTGTTTGTTGATTTCTTCTAATGTAAAAATGAATCGCTGAATGTGTTGCTAATCGAAATAATTCTACTGTACGTGTGTTGTGATTGAACTCCTCCTAAATGGTTGGACCTATTTGAATGAATTTTTTTGTATGCGTTTGATACATTTAATTTAGACTCACAAACCATCCCCCCAGGTCCAACCAAGGGATGTGCTCAAACGGGGATTTCGAGATTTACGGTGGAAACCAAATATGAGTATAAATGTATTAAATTGTAAGAACAGTATTTAACCTTAACAATATATTGATGAAAACTAAAAATTGTCACTAATAAATACAATAATAATACAACAATAATAATAGTGGCAAGTCCAACCGTAACTCGTAAGGCATGAAGCGATCATAGATAATAAAAGGTTTAAACGGTGTTACAAGTTGTATTATTAATTATGGAACCGATAAACAATAAACTTATATTATATCATGGGAAGACCTAAATTCTTATCAGTTATCTATTAAATAATCACTTTGATAACACATGACTACGGACTAAGATAGTCCGTGTACTAAAGACCTGCAATGGCCGGGCCGGTCTGACCAGGTCCTTAAAAAGTCCAGCCCGCAGTGACATTGGACCGGGCCGGGCCTTTGAAATAAAAGAAGGGTAGGACAGGGCTTTTTTAAGTCTTGGAATTTTATTCCGGGCCGGGCCTGAGGTTTTTTTGTACAATTTTTCGGGTCAGGCCGGGCTGGACTTCGAATAATAAATCAAGGGTTGGACCGGGGCTTTTTAATGATTTTTCTTCGACAATAAATAATTACAATTTAAAATAATAAATAATAATGATAAAACCGACGTTGGGAAAGATAGATACATATAGAGTATACTCTATGGATTGATACTAGATAGTATATACAATCACAATGAATATAATAATATACTGATTGGTGGGTATAATAAAGATATTTATATACCATAATAATAGTATACATTTTTTTCACAATATTTTTTGGACCAGGCTGTGCCGGGCTCGTGGATAAAATGTGTGGACCAGACGGGGCAAAAAATGTACGGCCCTTGCAGATCCATACCGTGCACATGACTCTCAGATACACTATATCTACAGACTATCTTTATAATATTACAGTATAATCATAGACCTACTTATACTAAGGTATAAGTTCTATGAGTATAATAGAGTAATTAATAGTTATAGGCAATGGTGGGCAAGTTAATGAAAATAATTAACTGTGGAAAGTTAAGTTAATTCAATTAAATTGCCTTCAGTTAAGTTAAAAGTTAACAAAAAAATAAAATTTAACTAGTTAAGTTAAAAGTTAAGATGGAAAATAAAATTAACTTAACTCAGTTAAAAAAAAGTTAATTTTTTTTTTAAGTCATAATATTAATAGGTATAGGCTGTTTTTAAATATTTGTCATTTAGTACCATTATAATAGTCTATTATTAAAATAAAATCAATGAATAATGATATTAGTATAATACCTACCAACAATTGTTTCCATATTTATTTCGATAATGTTATTTTCTAATCGCATACGTTTATTTGTATTTATAACGAATACGGCAATATAAATTATAATTTATAAATATCTCGGACGACTTTTTGTTTTGTCTATTGGAATTGTCGTATTTACCAGTAACCAGTATATATTATTGATATAATGATATCCATTTAAAGACTATGATATTTAGTTTTAAACCTGTTTTTAGGAATTGGAGAGTTAGATAAAACAAAAATCGGATTATTCAATACCATTAAATAATAATGTAATAATAATAATAATAATAATTATGTATTAAATCATTAAATAATAGAATTCGTGAAAATAGCCAGTCGATACAAGGATAGTATACTAATTATTACTCTTTAGTCTTTACTATAGTACCTATAGATTATAATATAATTTGATTATTATGAATTGATGATATTATATTATTAGAAAAATAAATTACCAAAATGGCAAAATAGAAAGAATAAGTTGTCTCTTGGTTCCACATGATAAAAATTTAATTTAATTAACTTAACTGTACAATAATGATAATTAACTTTAAAAAGTTAAGTTTAAGCAATACAAAATTTAACTGAATAAGTTAAAAACAAAAAAAACTAACTAGTTAAGTTAAAAAGTTAAAAAAAAATTAACTTTTTAACTTAACTTTAACTTTTTAACAAGTTAATGCCCACCATTGGTTATAGGTAATTACACTAATACTCATTGAAAATAGAAGAATAATTCATAATAATATACCTAATATAGAGAATTAAATAATTTGAAATGTTAATTTATATCGGGTTTTTATAATAATTTTTATGCGACCCATATCCGGCCAGCTAATGACAAGGGGGAAATTCCCCCCCCCCCCAAAAAAAAAAAATGACGCCACTGGCCATTACTTAAATATTGAGCGTATTATACTCACATATAAGTTACGTACATAAAACAATGTCACGTCTTCGTGGATGAGGAGGAAATAATGATCGACATTCACAATTAGTTCAGTTGTTTAGCAGGAATTCAGTGACATACTTGGTATAACATTGATACTTTAGAGTTAAATATTATAAAGTTACGTTCAAACAGCACGGGGTCCGCGATCTACTGCAGGTAGATTGCCTACCTGATAATATACTGCTGCGAATCAGAATTTTGATCACAGGCAACAGAAGAGTTATAATAAGACCACCATACACCGAACAAAGTTTGAGTCATATAGAGTTAGTACATTTAACTTGAAACGAAGTGCACGGGATCAGCTAGTATAAGATACGTATATGTTTTCGTTTTACACTTTTATTACGGAGCCGTTAAATATAATATATAATATATTATATAGGTACTTACATTAAAACGCTTCGATTGCAAATCGAATAAATTTCGTTCAATCAAATTATATATAGGAGCTCGAAGAAACAAGCAACGTAAACGTAATATCTTTTCGTCGAACCCTGCGAAATTTCTATCGTTTTTCTTCCTCGGAGACTTTTGACTCGAACCGACTATATCATAGTGTATAAAATCCTATAGGTATGTCGCGCAGTGGCGTGTTGAACTACTTTTACTTAAGGAGCGAAGATTTTTACATACCACCCACCCACCCATTTATTAAATACCCCCACATACCAAAACCGCTCGCTTCGCTCGCATTGTCACTATAAAAACATAATGAACTATTCATTTGGATTATTGGCCCTCCCTTTATACTTCATCAATATTTAAATTCTAAATAGTATATAAAAAGTAGTTTTTAAATTTTTTTTTTTGATGATTTATTAAACAGTTTTCATCAATGTTACAGCTGATGTAATTGGTAAACACAAATCATTTTATTTTCATATTTAATAATGACAATTGCTTCATTATACTTTATTATAATATTATATTATAATCAACTCAAGTCTCAATATTTCTTTAACATTAATTAAAATAAACTATTAGTTAACTAAAACTTAATTCTTTGAATACTCATTGTTCAAGTACAATATATACATATTAATATATTACCATACATATTAATATATAACTATAGGTATAAACATATTTCTTAATAATTAAATAATAATTTATACTTTTTAACATGATATGATTTTTCACTTATATAATAACGCTTCTTGTAGTAGTTTAGAGGTATTGGCATATTTGTTTATTGCTTCATCAAGGTTAATTTTTACATCTTTTTCACATGATAAGAGCATCAAACTTTCGAGACGGTTTTGTACCATTGTCGAACGAATTCTAGTCTTAATCAATTTTAATTTAGAAAAAGTCCTTTCACTACTTACTGATGTAGCTGGTATGGTACACAAAAATTTATATGCCATGTACATATTAGGAAATGCTGATATCAAGTTAAATGTATTTAATAACTTTAACACATCTAAAACTGTCATTTTAGTTTTAGTTTCTTCACTATTGTTTTCATCTGAATCAACAATTGTATCCGTATCTGATTCACTTACTATTACATTTTCATGCAATTTTTCAATTTCTACGTTTGATTTTAATTTAAGGAAACTGTATGCAAAAGTGGAATACTCCAATTTTAATTGATCAATTTGTAAATTTGGAATCCACTTATCAAGATACACAAAATTATCTTCAGGTATAGGACATCCTTTACTTGTAGAAATGAGTCGATCGACTGAAAGAAGGGACAAGTCGGATAAAATTTCCCGTGAGCCTTCAAATCGGCTCGTTATAGATGTATATATTTGATCCAAGACAGTGAAATAAACTTGTATTTTAAAATTATCCTTGGCATTTGATACTACTCATCATTCGTTTTTTCTCCAGCCATTATTTTCCGCCTCTGAACCCGTTTTTCTGGAAACCATACTTCTTCCAGTTCATTTTCCAGAGAAAACATTTTTGCATCAGCCAATAATACATCTAAATGTAGATCCTTTCTTAACTCTGACAGTTTCCTAGCACAGTTATCAACCATAGTTAATGCAGTGATGAAATCCAATGATGGTGATTGTAAATATATGGATAGTGGATTTGTGTGCTCAAAGATATTTTTCATTAATAACAAATGTGTAACAAACTTGAATGAAGAAATAGTAGACACTAAATTTGTTGCCATTGAAGATGTATCACGTTCAGTTGAGTTTGATAACTCTTGTAATGTATTAGTGAGTCCTTTATATTTTTCAAATATAACTGTCAAAGCATGGCCATGAGATGTCCAACGTGTAGAAGAAAAATTTTTCATTCTACAAACTCTATTTTCTGGATAACATATTTTTTGTTGGTTTTTTTCATTCTACAAACTCTATTTTCTGGATAACATATTTTTTGTTGGTTTAAAAATATTGCAGTACGTTTTCTTGCTCTTAAAAAAGCAATTAATGATTGCCAATCTCCGAAAAAATTTCTCATAGTCTTACTTGTATCACAAGTGTCCACCACAACAAGATTTAAAATATGAGAAAAACACCAGACATATATTGCCCTAGGATTTTTTTCTTGAATGTATGCACGAACACCAGAGTATTGGCCTTGCATGGAAGATGCCCCATCATATGATTGTGCACACAGTTGATTTTCCCAATCAATATCATATTTTTCACAAATATTACACAAAACGTTAAACATACCAATACCTCTTGCGTCTGATACATTTTCTAAAGCAACTAATCTTTCTTCTACTTCTTCATTTTCATTTATAAACCTAATTACTATTGAAAGTTGTTCTATATTAGAAACATCTGTTGTAGTATCTATGATGAATGAAAATACTCCAGATTTTTTAATTTTGAATAAAATATTTTCCTGAACCATTTCACCAAGAACATTGAGCATATTATTTTGGCTTAGATTGGATAAAAATGTTAATCGATTTTTTTTTTTTTGAGTTTTGAATTTTTGATAAGTGGGATGAAAGCATTGGATTATATTTTGATATAAATTTAATCAATTCAATAAAATTGCCTTGATTGTTTGATGTCCAAGATTCATCGTGGCCTCGAAACGCTATATTTTGACGAGCAAGGTAGATAAGAGTTTCAAAAATTACTTTCACAATTTCCCTATTTTCAGCAACAATTCTGTTTGAAGTTTCAAAAGTTGTACTTACTACTCTTTGATTACTTATAAACATAGTTCTTCGAATTTCAGACTCTAAATGGATACTATTTGATTCATGTGATTTAAGCTTAAATGATATATGGCTCCAATCATCAGAACCAAACCGCGCTAGTTGATAACTTTTTGCATCTTCTTTTCCAAATTGTTTGCAAACAATACAATAAACTTTATCTAGCAATGGGGAATATGATATCCAATTTCGCTTAACAAATTCACCATTTGGAAGTTTTTTACTATAATGTTCTTCGTGAAAAGAACGCAACCATTTGCCTTGCAATTTAGTTGGAAATATACCTCCTTTTAATTCAGATGCTTTAGGTTGACACTGTTGTAAAGCAGCAATATAAGCAAACTGTTCTGGAGACATTTTTGAATCTAATATTATTGATGGATCATTTGGAAATTGTTGGAAACGCATAACATCTTTATCCACAATGTTACCAATATCTATTAAAATATGTAATATCTGAATTAATTATCAGTTTTATTTTAAAATATGTATTTGGACAATGTTTATTTAAACTACACTTTATTTACATATTTATTTTTATTTCGACTTAAAAGACATTAGATTGCTTATTAAACTTGACGATTAAGAAACTTAATATTTGAACCTATTATTATTATTAATTACCTTCAACGTCCCCAGTTGATGACACATTAGATTGATCTTCATTAGAACATACACTGTACAAATTGCACGATTCATCAACTACATTCATTTTACTGCCTTTAAAAGAAAATTAAAAAAAAAAAAACATTTAAATTACTTAATAGTTAATAGTATATATTATGCAATATTTTAATAGAATGCAAGAACATCATATGAGGTACATGCATATGATAAAATTAATTATAAAACTTACAAGAAGCTCCTGAGTTGATTAATAAATCACTAGATTCTAGTGTTGTATTAGTAATGCCAGTGTTTAATATAGTTAATTCTGTTACAGAAGAGCCATAATTTGAAGTAGCGATTCCAATTTGATCTTTTGGGATATCTATTACCAAAAAAAAACCCATACATTTTTAAAAAATATCTAAGTCATTTCTTAAGAACATAAAATACAAACTAAATAACTAGCCATATTGCATATTCTCAGTCCCTGCTGTAAAGTATGATTGTTGCAATTTAAAAATTATTAGAATCCCAGTAAAATTAGTCAAATGAGACTTATACTATATACCATAATTAGGTAGGTAGATAATTGCAGAAAAATAATTATTCTAAATTGTATTTGACTATTGTTATTTTTTTTTATTGCCAAATTAAAAAAAAAATTTACCTTTATTTGGTAGAGGTGGGTGCACTTCATCATCAATGGTTCTTTTTTTTTTCATATAAGAAAATATGTTAGATACCGTTTTCGAACTTTTTAATTTTGCAACATTGGATGCAGTTACATGGCGTTCCAATTTGTGTCATTCATTTTCTGTCTTTTTCTTCCGCATAAACACTCAATATTGTTTTCTGACATTATTTTAAATTGTTAATTAAGTTGAATATTTAATTAATTGAACTGAACAAAAAATGACGAAAAATACTTCAACACTATATTACTATAATATTACACCTACCGCATAACTGTGTGTAGCATATTATTACAAATTTACAAATACAGACGATGGCGGAGTCGCGGTTGATCTGTCTTTAGTAGTTTAGTACTTACTATCAGTAGGTTGTAGCAAGCAGCCGAGGTCGAAAGCGTTGTTGACATAATATTCTCCATTACAATTTAAGGGCGAAGTCCAGTGAATTATTTTGATAACAAATACAAGTAGGGATTCCCACTTTCATATATTTTAAAAATAGAACTGCTAACTGGATTGAACGTCTGATAACATTTTGATACATTACACACCCACAGATATGATATCAGATATTTGTGATTACACTGTGATTACACATGGAATGTAGATAACGAAATGGTTTCGTACGTATTACCGTACTACGGTCTACGGCTGTCTTTGTTATAGAGTAAAACAGTATGCTACGTAGTACGTATATTGTACTATTATAAGTTAAGACATGTAGTATATTTATGATCACAAAATTACAATTCTATTCTTCGTATAATAGAAGTATACCCACAACCCACCTAATCATTAACCACCCACCCTTAAAATATTGATGGAGCGGCCGCTCCTTAAAAACATTGTCAACACGCCACTGATGTCGCGTATAGTATTTTATTGGTACATATAAAAACGATTCGAATAATAATAATAAACAACTAGACGGCGTGCAAAAATAGCAGTATATTATGTGATGTTTCTCCGAATGCGATTCGTCGAAACTTAAACCGGTCGTGTAAGGTAAGATATATAAAATTAAAAAATGTCTATATTTTTTTTTATACTTTTACATACCACCCGAGTTTGGTCGAATTTATTGAATATTAGCCACGCAACTACTGCTGCATTATAGGTAGGTACCCACGTGCGTATGATACATTATAATATTATAAATTCTGCAACATATAATTTATTTTGATAATGCCTAAACAACACATCAGCTGTGCGTTCATACTTCATAGTACCGAACTACCGAGTGTTCATTTATAAGCGAGAGCGGGACCTTGACAATTATTATTAATAATAGGTAGTTAAAAATAACGCTAATGCTATTAAAACGTCGAATGCTTTTTTGAATGAAAAACGATCGTCGAGCGAGAACGTCTGTTTACGATGCAATAATAATTATAATATAATATAGCTATTTAAAACTCGTATAATACGTATGATGGGTAGCTAGAATAATAATTATTATTACCTAAATATGTATATACATTCGTGTTTCGGACTTTAAGTCCGATGAGCACGGCGCATGTAAATACACAGACAGTAATTATTAGTCACTGGAACGGGTGAAAGCACACATATACTAAGGTCAATTAGAATAATATAATATACATATGTGTGTGTTTGTGTGTGTTGAGCTGGTTGAGCACGCAAATTATTATTAATAAATAATATCGATGGCTACACAGCAAAACCTCGTAAGTTGAAATTTTAATTTTTTTTTTTTTTTGTCTATTGGATGCACTGTATTTTTGTGCACATTTTGATATCGTAATTTCATATTATTTCCCGCTAATTTCATAAGATATCGTACAAAACAAATGCTCATACCCTATCTTATCAATGTAAACACGTCACAGTTTTTTGCTGTTCCTGAGCAATTTGATAAAAGTGACTTACGAGGTTTTGCTGTGTAGCCATCGATATGAGTTTTTTAAATTTTTTTTTATGCTATCTACTCGATGATGATAATATATTATTATTATTATTATTATTATATACTATCGCGATGATGTCGATGACCTAAAAACAATTAATCATAAACGCCACTAAAACAGTGATTCGACGGATCACTTGTACACCGAAAGTCGAAATAATGTTTCACACAAGCCCGGCATGGAATTTTTGTTTTTTCTTTGTTTTTAATAAAGTAAAACAAAAAATAATAATACTCTTGTACTGCTTTTTAACGGTACAATAGTTTTAAAATCATACAGCGTTCACGAGCATAATAATAATATAGTACCTATATTATAAAAATAGTAATAATTAATATTACGGTTTCCGAGAGGTCCATTTCCCCAGCCCTAACAAACTGGAATTTCAAATTTTCGTTTATTCCATGTTTGTACGTTGTTTGTAAAGGTTTGTAAAGGATTGTAAAGATTTTTTTTTCGTTTGTAAAGAATTCATATTCCTAAAAAACAAAAATGGCCGATGGGGGGCTGGGGAAATGCCTAAAAATTTTTGAAATTCGAATTTCCGTACATTCCATATGTTTTTAACTCGTTTGTAAATGTCTGTAAAGATATTTTTTCGTTTGTAAAGGTGTGTAAAGATATTTTTTTCGTTTGTAAAGAATTGGTTTTCCTAAAAAAAACAAAAATTACCCAAAGGAGGCTGGGAAAATTTTTTAATTTCAATACAAAAAACCAAGAAAATTAAACTATTGAAAAAATATAAATTAAATAAAAAAAATTGTATTTAATATATATTATATAAATGTAAATATTAAAAAAACTTTATTTAATAAAAAAATTTCTATCAAGATTTGTGTGATTTTTACACCATTGTATTGCATAATCTTCATTTAATAAAAAAATACCTTGGTTGAATAAAATAAATCTAAAAATAAATCTTAAAAAAAATCTTTATTTGATACAAAATCTATATATAATCAAAAAGTATAGGTATTCAACAAAAAAATCTTGATAAATTAAAAAAAAAATCATAAAAATCTTGTTAGAAATTTTTTTATTAAGTTAAGTGTTTTATCAAGTAGGTATAGATTTTTTGTTATGTTAAATTTTTTTATTAAAAATATATTTTTAGATTTTTTATTCAATATAAATTTTTTTTTATTAAGTATAAATTTTTCATTATTTGTATTTCAATACAAAAAAGTGATGAATAGAAAACTATTGAAAAAATCTAAATTAAATAAAAAAATTGATATTCAATAAATAATCTATATTTAATAAAAAATTCTATACTGAAAAAAAATGTAGACTTGATAAAAAAAACCTAATAAAAATGTACATAAGAGATTAACAAAAAAAAAATTAAAATCTATATCAATCGTTTTTATGAGTCAATTTTATAAACTATTTTTAAGCATTTTTTTTTATCGAATTACAATTGAATGGTATAACCAGAAATTCTAAATTTCGAAAATTTGGGGCATTTACCCCCCC